AACAGGCTAGAACAGAAGTCGGCAACTTATGACCCGCGGCAATAATTTGGCTGACCCGCCAAATGTTGGCCTCACCATTGCAACCCGTGAGGGCACAATCATTGTTCAGTTCAAGTTTCTCGGCTATGTGAGAAGAACGACGATATTAAAGGAAAGAGTCACGGCTACGGAGAATTTTAAGATCAATTTCAGGGAAAAATATCAAACTGGTCGAACTACTAATTTTTTTCTATGTAAATAAACATACACATTTAAAATACATGTACCGGTATCAATAATTATATGATTATCACTGACCCAACACAATGCTAAATTTTTCAAAAAAAAAATTATTGACCCGCGATCAAAAATGGTTGCCGACCACTGGGCTAGAACAACGTTTCTCAAACTAGGGTACGCAAGTCATGTCCGAAATTTCATTAAAAATATTTAAGAAATAAGATTTACAAAATAAAAAAATATTTTTTCGTAAAATTAAATTTATATGAATTAAAATATTCAATTTTGGAATTTTGAAAAAGTTTGAGAACCACTAGTATAGAACTTACAATTTCAGCGAGCATATCTCTGTATCTTAACCACTAATACCTACGTTTTTAGTTTCAAACTATCATAGTGCAAGGCAACTAAACACATTTGTGGCAAATAAATATTTAGGTGCAGTAAGTTGAAATATTATCAAAAATGTAAGTGTTGATGGATCCTGTGGATGAGTAAACTGTCATCATTACTAGATGAAATGACATAAGCTTACACAGTTATACGTACTTGTTTTCGTACACAGTTTAATCTCACGTTTTAACATCAATTGTTATTCTATACACATGAACAACATTCACTAATTTTAATGTGTATCTTGCAAAGGAACGTTCTCGTCAAATTGTAGTGTTAAAAGTATAAATGAACTCTCTAACAAGTAAACATGACTAGAGATTTTTTTGTTTTTTATGGATATTAACTTTTTTTTAACTCCAACGTGTTATCCTAATTTTTTTTCAAGTACAAACTTTTAGCTCATAACTCCATCTCTTGACCGATTTGAGATGTAATTACAGACGCGGCTATTGAAGATACCCTCTTGTCTCTCTTTATGATGAAAAAACCGTGATAATGGGTTTTAAGGTTAACGTACTCCCAAGAGCCATATCGACCATTATGAAAACACCACATTCACACGCTAATTAAAATCTAGATCCTCTCATCAACATTACTAAAACCCACGTAGATTTTTCTAGTTCGTTCTAACCTGCAAGGACAGAAAACGATTCTGTTCATGTTTTAGTCGTAAATGCATTGTGTGTGCCAATTATTATAGCACAATGTACATCCGGGTCTTTCAACAGTTATTTGAAAGTCTTTACATTTAATAGGTTTAATTCAACCTCTATAGTTTGCAGAGGAATTATGCATGTATAAGTTTTAGAAAGAACCTGTAAGACAAATTAACAATCCCATCCAAACAGAAGTAAGAAATGTTCATAGAATAACAACTACCTTATTACCGACATAAAGCAGTGTCTATATATATAGTACGATAGAAAGAACCTGTAAGACAAATTAACAATCCCATCCAAACAGAAGTAAGAAATGTTCATAGAATAACAACTACCTTATTACCGACATAAAGTAGTGTCTATATATATAGTACGATAAAAAGAACCGTTTCATCTGCCGAGAGAAGACGATTTTGTTTATCATCTACGTCATCAAAGTAGCAAAACAAAAACAAAACATTTTTTTGTTTCCACCAGTTAAGCCTTGCCTCATTAATTCATTACCAAAGAACAAATTGCCAGGATATGCTAATAATTACTGCCACTAATTTATAAGACTGTTCAGTTCAACACAGCTGTATCTACTTAATGCATTAATGGGGGTAATTTCAATCAAAAGAAACTTGATATTCGCAGTTATGTAACAAATCTTGGTGTTATTATTTTCACGATGAGTGTGTTCTGTAATTAAGTGGCTGCTGAAATCACCGTTTACACGTTGCATTCAATTTAAGCATGTTAGAAGTCATCTGAAAATATTTAGTAGCCAAGAGGGCATGGTCGATTTATTCGAATACCGTTAACGAAATCCGAGGAGTTCGTGGGATCGACGTTTAGTATCGTTTAATCATCATGTTTTGCCTTCTTTGGAGTAAATGTTATACTACAGAACTGTTCCAAGCATTTATTCTATAAACTTCAAAACGCGAAAGTGAAGACAAAGATTTATCTTTTCTTCATTGACATTGGTTTTATGTGCAGCATGTTTTCGGGTATGACTTTTAAATTCAAGCCTTTATCCAATAGTATTTTGAGTACAGGAATCAATTTATTGCTGTAATTTCAGGACATTTAGTGTGCATGGGAATGTTACATGAAAAATGCTTATGTTCAAGCTTTTGATGGTGCAGTAGAATTAAGTTACATATTTACACAGTTGCACGATAATGGTAATTCGCTAATGGTAATTCCAAACTCCATTCTTAAACCCACAACTAAACATTAATGCCCAGGTTTCTTAAAAGTAACGCAAGTTATACTATATCTTACATAATAATACCCTAAAAATAGTTGAATGTAACTCGGGAGAAATGTTCTTACACAAAACACCCCATGGAACAACAAAAGAATCAACATTTTTATTTTATTTTTAACTATCCCAAATGTTACACCTATATACGTAGCTACTAGGACGAACCACGTAACGCGAGCCTTGAACCGCCTGGGGTACTGACGGGAAAGATGCCGGTCGACACGCAATTGAGCAGATGCTGTTCCGGTCAATGTAAAGTTAGTTATTGATTTCTGTGGAGAGTCGTATCTATCAAAGACCAGCACGTGAGGTGAAAGACTCGCCTCTTCAGTCCTCATCCGCTTGTAGTTAATGTATTGAATCAATTTGTTACAAAATATTCCAAAGGAAAGATTTATGAGAAGTTGAGGGTTAATTCTGTTACACTGCCATTGGATTTTATCTCTTTTAGTAACCATTCACAAGGACTCCAGAACTCTGCATATAAATAACACCACAAATGTTAAAAGTATAGTAGTACAAACCCACTCACTATCTGTTGACATTAAATAGATTAAAAGTGTGGTGAATACAATAATAATAATATGTTACGCAACTATCACGTGGTTTTATCGATGTATTTTACCGGAGTCTTAAGTCTTGGTTTCTTACTAATCGTATGACTGTTGAAAATAGAATACACTATAAACATATGACTAAACACACTGTTATTAATTCTTTCACACATCATACAAATCTTATTACAAAACACCAGTCACCAATAAATCATATAGTCTGAGATGAAGCACCTTAAGAGGACTATACAAGACTCTTCAGTACAATAAATACTCCTCTCTATCGATATAACTAGTTTATTTAAGAATAGTATATATACTAAGAGGGTTTAATAACACAGCACTAAAAAGGGAGGAATTTTATCTGATGAAGTTCAAAACATACACATTTTTATACAACAAAAACAACCACACGTAAAAAGGAGGATAATAACACATACAAGTAAACAGAAAAACCTAATATCCTAAAAGGGGTTTAGGAATAATCTGCGAAAGACATACATAATAACGTAGCTTAACCCTGAAATGCCAGCGTTAAATTTTCAACCATTAACACCAGGTGGTATGGGTCATAGTGATTCTACGCTGGCATTCTAGGGTTTAAAAAGTAGAGGTAGAAAAGTTATACATATATATAATATATGAAACGAATCTTACAATAATTTTGCATAATAAGTCTTACAATAATTTTACATAATAAGTCTTACAATAATTTTGCATAATAAGTCTTACAATAATTTTGCATAATAAGTCTTACGATAATTTTGCATAAGTCTTACAATAATTTTGTATAATATGTGGGCATGGAAATATTACTAAAGAGTTCTACGCAAAAGAAAATATTATCCTACATATATAGAGATAGGATAATATATATATATATATATACAAATATGAGTTACCTTACAAAAGTCATATATCTTTCAGAAATGCTCTTTTTGCTTATAAACAGAAAAACATAGATCGACTTCACAAAAACTTTAAACACAAGAACAGATATTCCTGTACGCAACACGTACAATAAGTTGCATATACATACTTATACAACACATAAAAAGTAAAATATCGTACATGCACACCGCTAACATACACGGTACTACTGTATTATAATTACAGTGCTGTAGAACCTGATATTGGTGTAAGTTTGACGTACTCATCTTCTCTATCTAAAGATACAGAAATTCCATTCTGACGTATTACTTTCCATATTGATGAGCCGACTGTTGTAGTTGTACTTTCTACTGCCTAACGCGATCACATATGTTACTGGTTTACTTTACAAACGACATCGAATAGTGTATAATGGGGAACAAAAAGGCTCACCATGTTCAAATAATGTCAACATTCCATGTTTTCATGTACACAAATAATGAACATGTCTGCCTATGAATATTGTGTGAAGTTAATAGTGATAACATCCTGGTGAAGTATTATGTAAAAAAGTCATCATTATAAACATTCCTGTACAAAACTACATAGGTTTATATGTAACGTCCTCATATACAAAGCGAAATTTCTTGTACACGAATTAAGTAAACTGAATATTTTGTATATAAAATAAATATGTTTGTAAATATATATATATATACACAAATAATTTTTGACATTCCTCAATTCAAGCTTATAAGAATATAAGAACACTTGTATATATGCAAGAGAAAAATCACGGTAAAGACCTCTTACAAATATTCCTGTTAAAACTTGTACAGGTGATGAAAAGCCCCTTCATCACGAGACAATGTAACATATTCCTGTATAACTATTGCTATGACGAAGTGTCTTTGAGAAGGTGAATATTCGTGCATAAAAAAGTGCCTATGATAAGGCATAAGTTAGAATGTATAATTAAACCTAATTGTGAAGAAAGTTCTAAAGTAACAGAGATGATAACAGAATTACGGAAAAAAAATATTACACAGGTTGATATTCCGATACTTACATGAATGAAGACATTCGATGATAGTTGTGGCGTCTACGAAGTATCCGCCACACAACACGCAAGTCAAATATGGGTTCACTTCCATCACACGAAGTCGGGATGGCCGGTACATGGTGTGGTGGCCCAGCGGCCAAGATCGGCACAACTTCGGCTTCAGAGATTGTCAGCCACCGGTGCAACGGAACAGGCTTCTAAAGCAATTTGTCCTAGGTAAAAGAAGAGAAATACTTGCCTTGTTAGCACCACAGAAAACAAATATTTATATGAAAATATTCATTTATGAAATTTTGTGAGAAGCAAAGTTTACATCTAAAACATGTTATAAAGATATATTTCTATCAGAAAATAGTTGTCTGTCCGGGAAGACAGAGTAGTCAGCCTTTACAAGAAGTAAGTTATACAGCCTTATAATACTTTGATCCCAAAGTATAAGTAAAGCAAAAACGAATTGAGTAGATAGTACATTTATAAAAAGGGCATTTTCTGTTCTAATACAGCATTTTTTTAACCAGTCAACTAGATTTAATCATTATATATATATATATATATTAACTACTATGATGAAATATTCTGATGAGGCACTTGAAAGCTAAGCTAATTAAAAAAACGAACTGAACCACAACATTTTATCTCACTACATGTTAAGACGATTACGACTACACAGCATAATTGCGCCAAAAACTCTGTACAAACACGCGTAATCCGGTATGAACACCTTTGTAGTTAAAAATACATAGATTACAAAAGTATATATATATACAGGTACAGGTTAAAGTCAGAAACATAATTATTGTTTTAAAAACATCGCACCATTTCGTACTTAAAAAAAAACAATTTTAAATATACATTGTGCCCTAACTATTACTAGTAAAAAAATCTTAAGATTTTATTTTCGTACAGTGCAGATCTCGTATTTAGCTAAAGCTCAATACTGAAAATATTGAATATCCTTTTATACATACGTAAAGAATGGACTGTTAGCAAAGTTCATAAAAAATAAGATGCATATATTGTTATATTGTTGAAGCCTAAGGTTTCAATCTAGATCTTTCTAAAAACGTGTCTTGTTGTTTAGCCGGAAAAAAAGATTAACGTATCATGGTGGGCGTAGCCCCACTGTTTGGTACTTTCTCGAAAGTTTAGGAAACAGTTTGAGCTATATATAAAAAGTAAATCGGGCTAGATTAGATTACTAAGTCTGTTACAGTGAACGAATTTATTAGTCAGTTAATGAGCAATCAGTGCATGATTTAGTTTGTAACTGTTAGCCAGTTAGTGTAAAAGTTATTTCAGTGATGTGGATGTTGGGTTTGTTTCCAAAATAAAATATATATACGAAATCAGCAAGTAAGTGGAATTCCTGTTAGTCGTAGTTTATTTGTGAAGTGGTTACCCTGACTATTAAATTTGAAGTAGAAACTGGCCTTTAAGTTATTTTCTTCCAGGAATAATCGAACAGAAACTGTCTAATAATTGAAACCTTTACAGTACTGATGTCAGAAGTGGGATTATTTTGGTAGGAATAAAATCCAATCCAGATCCAATTCCAAGATGACGAGACCTGGTCTAGCGAGATTGAATATTTAATAAAAATGATGAAACAGCGTAAAGAAGACCAATAAGAATGGTGCGGAAGATACAGGAATTTAAGAGAATAATTAAAGGAATGAGGCATAAGATATACAGAATAATTACGGACAAAAGCAATTTGATCAAAAATAAGATGTAAAAACCCATAAGAAATTCACAGCCGGATTATAACAACAAAACTGAGGAAGTACAAAACGACACCTTGTCTATAACTGTTACTATCACTATTTTGCAAGACTGCAAGACCTACTTGGAATACTCTAGTTACACCACATCATCATCAAGTTACGATATTTAAACGTCAGTCCAGCAACTTTATCTAATCGAGAAAAGTAACAGATGATGGTAGAAAGGCATTAGGGGAGGCATTCCGGGCGCATTTTCAAATAATTTCCTAATTTAATAGATTGAACAGTAAACAACAAGCTATTAATCTTGCTGCTCATTTAAAAGGACCTGCTTTAACAACATTAATAATTGTTCCAACATTGAACCAGAACAATTATGGGTCATTACTGGCTGCCTTATCAAATCGATTTAATATGTTAAAACAAAATTACTTTAAAACAAGGTTTAAGAGCAAAGTAAGAGAAAAAAATATTAGGGCTTAATTAAACCTGCTGAAAATGTGGAAAAACTTGTTCAATTATCTTATCCGGATGATCTACATGAAATGGTGGATTCATTAGTAAGCGATCAATTTTTAAATGCCTTGGAGGATGATATCCTAATTAGACTTAAGCAAAGTAGGTGTACGTCTTTAAAGAAGCTTTTCAGTTGGTAATGGAAGTAAAATCAATTCAAGTCGCAGATAAACAACCAGGAATTTTGAGATTTTCAGACCAAACAATGTAGAAACATCAAATCTCTCAGACAGAAAACTCTACAGAAAAACTCAAAAGATTAAATATACAACTCTCTATTCAGAACAGAGTTAACCACAGGAGAGAAGCTGTTTGAATTACAACTTAAAAGGATGTATTACTAGAAACTACAGACAAAAACCTTTAGGAAACAGAAACTTATCTCGAAGGATGACAGTAAGAGGAAATTGTTATATCTGTGGAAAATTGAATTTATATACGAGATTGTCATGAATCTGTCTTTGGTAATAAACCAAGAATAAAAATATTCCTTCTGCTCCAAATGAGATAGTAATATCATTATGTAAATAAACCAGTTCATGAGTCAACGAACATATTGTTGTGAAACCTTGTAACATGTTGCTTGATAATGGTTTTAATACTACAATTGTTTGACCTGGTCTGGTAATGAAAGCTAGGAAATTCCCTCCAGAGATGAAGCAAAATTATGGATTGATGGGAACAGCAAGTGTTTATAAACCTCCAGCAAGTGGAATGTTAGAAGTCACTGTTACTGCGGAAATCTTCTCTATACGACATGATGTTTGGATAAATAGCACTGGGAAAAATTGATTGGCATCATGGAAAAACACGAACATAGTATATGACCAAGAAACTGTTGTGCATTACGCGACAATTGCACCAGAGGTTGAACTTCCAGTGACAACAAAGTCAGAAGCAAAAGATGAATTAATAAAGATAACTCACCTAAAGTGCATCATAGCAGATTTCAGAAAGAAAATCAATACAAGCTAAAGGTAATCCATCGTGATCGTTTATAGAAGTACGTCAGCGAAAGAAAAGCCGACTGATTAACTTTAAAGAAGACTTCTTAAGAGGTAAGTCAACTCATTAAAGAGCCAAAGTTACTATTGCGATCACTTCTAATGTATCACAAAAGATGAAACTATCAGCTGATTTCCTTAACCATCTACCTGAACAGAGCACCCCAATTACAAAACAAGTGATGAAAAATGACCAGAGCTAATCCCTTCTTCTTATCATATGTCATGGAAAAGGTATCCACCAAACGGAATTGGTCACTAGACATTTTAGGACAATAACTGAGTCAAGAAAGAATTTGTTTTTTGCACATTCCAGTAATGATTTAATGATTATAGGGCTTGGATTTACGAATATTAATGTCAATAGTTATTTTATTGTTTATTATGGAAGTCTAAGTTTAATGTTTTCTTTGTGTAATATGACTGTTCAAAGGATTTCACAATCCAGGGAGGGGAAAGTGTTGTAGTCTATATTCTTTAGTCTAGATGATTCTTAAGATTAGTATTGTTGTTCAGCCGGAAAGAAGTTTCACGTAACGTGATAAGTGTGGTCTCAATGTCTGGAACTTAATTTGAGTCATATAATACATGGAAAAGCAAGTTAGGCTAGAATATATTGTTGAGACTGTTAGAATGAGTAAGTTTGTCAGTCAGTTAATGAATAATTAGTACATGATTTAGTCTCTCTGTAAAAGCACAATTATGGCATATATATATGTTTAACAACATACACAAATTTCGAAAAGTATGCAATATCATACTGCATTTTTATTAAGGTTAGAATTGAAAGTTGTTTTTATCAGTTTATGATAAACTTACTAACAGTAACTGCCATCGTTCCTAATTTCGAACTGCTGAACACAGGGAAGGCAGCACCCACCCCCAACTCTGGCTCTAATCATTACCAACGAATAGTGGGATTGACTGTAATATTATAACTCCCAACGCTGAAAGGACACTAGAGTGCCAATTTCATAAAAAAAAAACGCTAATTTTCTAAAAGGAGTTTCATACAAAAAATAATATTTCTCAAGGCGACACATTCCCTTGTTATGATATATCTTAGACCAAAACTTAGACCAAACAGGATTCGAGCCCGCGACTTTGCTCAGCAGGCTAACTAAATTACACGGGATTATCGATAACGGCAGAATTTTGAAAACTCTTCTCTGAAAAACACTTCCAAGACAGTTTGCCACTCTTAAATATTCCTGCAGTTTGAAACTTAATTCTAAAACCACACTGTCATAAACAGAATTTTAGTTTTACACGCTATTTGGCACATCAAATAACCCTAACAAAAGTTTACCCATATACCAACCAATGAATATAAGAATGAGACTTGCAGCAAGACCCCGAATAGCTGGGTTAACTTAAGGCATCCGCCCTCTAAGTAGAATTGCGAGTTCAAAACCTGCCCAGTCTCTGTTTTCACTTACTTAGAAAAGTTGTCCTTTTAATACATGATACCTATACACACAGGAAAAAAAAAAAAGGAGGTGCAAAAAATTCCTAACAACGGATATAATGTTTAACAATCACAGTAAGCACCACATACTGTTTACCATAACACTGGGATTCAAATATTACTGAACAAAGCTAAAACTACTGCAGTTATATCGAATGAACAAGTTGACCCTTTCCCTCTCAGGAGCGTGCGACTAACCCATACCTTAGCCCCTCCCATCACTGGGTCCTGCTGAAGACATGCTTTGCGCCTCCTAACAGCGAGTTCCCTGTGCTCACGTGAGACCACCGCATTCGGATAGCGAGGAGATGTAAATAAATAACTACTGTATTTCTGTGCTGAGCACCGGCTTTTGAGTAGTCAGTCACTCGCAAGCTGTTTCTGATCTTTACAATGGGTTACGGCAATTAGCGCTATTGATCTTTGACACAATGGTTTTGGGAATGGCTAAAATGTACACGAAAATGCGAAATATCTTGCTCTGTTTTCACGGTCAATTT